TATATTTATTATAAATAAATATGAGAAGGCTAAAAATAAAAAGAATTTTTTTTTCCAAGAGTTTATACCGTCTTAGATTCTCTCAAGTTCTTCTATTTCCATGATAAATATGTTTATGGAGCTCTTGTACACAAAATGTTTTGAAAATTGTGAATTCAAGTTTTTTTTTCATATTTGTTTCATTTCTTTTATTTCTTCCCTTTCATTTTTGTTTTATCTCTTTCTTCTATATTAGTGTCATTTCTTTTACTATGTTTTCTTTTTTTTTCTGTTTTTCCATTTTGTAATCATGTTCTAATTTGTTTTTATTGTTGATTCATCGATCAAAACTCACTTTCTATGATTTAAATTTGGTTTTTAATGGCTCAAGTTTATTATAATCCATTACAGTTAATGTAATTGAGGTTATTTGATTAAATACCTCATTTATAATATAATTTAGTTTTTAAGTTTGAGTGATTGATTGATTCAGGAATTGAATTATGTTACGAATTTTAATTGGATTATAATTATTTGAAACTATTGTGAATTTACTTTTGTAATTGCAAGACGAATTTTAGAAATCAATTAAATAGAATCAAATTATGATCGTAGAATCGACAATTTTCTCTACCAAAACTCTTCTTAAGTTTTAATCAATCGCAATTTAGATCTATACTTTACTTGAATTCTAATTTTAAGTACAACCTTATAATGTAGATTTAATTCAGAATATTTTCACTTTCATTTACAAGTCTTTCATATAATCATTTGATGACATTTATTTACTATTTTCTTAATTGCTATCATAATTTAGATTTATCATTTTTATTTGTATTCTTTCATTTACTATTTTTCTTTTACCTATGTAAAAAATCTTAAAAAAACCCTTATTTTTAGTATTTTATTTTAAAAAATTAATATTTAAGCAAAACTTATCAATTTTCTCGAGGACACCATTTAGGTCAGTCCTGTAATTAGATTATTTTAATTGTATTTTTTTTTATGAAATATAGGTGACAAAATTCAATTCATCAGTGAATTAAACTTTTATCTTTGATTTCATGATAAACATCAATGTTTTATTTAAGAACAAAAAATATTTTACTTTTATATTCATTATGATAATATCATTAGGACCCATTATTACATTTGATATTTGAAACTCTAATTTATTATGATTTCATTGTCAAAAGATGTCTATGCATGAATGATACAAATATATCATATTTTTTTCTCACAACTTCTATGCTTATTTTATATTTTTCTTTTATCACATTTTTTTCTCTCCACTTTAAATGTATCAACTTTTTGCCTTATTCCATTGTATTACATTTTTTTCCATCTCATCTTTTTTCAAATTTTTTAAATATATAAATCATAAAACAATTATTTTTCTTATATTATCTTTCTCAAAACATCAAATACGATTATAAAGAGTGAAATCTTCTTTATATATAATATATATTTTATTTTAATTTATTAAAATTTAACATATATAAAAATTTTAAAATACAAATATTTATTTATGTAACTATAAATTATTGAAAATAAATAAATGTGAGATAAAGGTTCATGAGAGAAAAACTAAATAGAATGTGAAAGGAAATTAAAAATAAATGATATTTTTTAATTATTTCATATTCAACAAAATTTTGAAAAAAACTATAGTATTAAAAGCAATAAAGGATATAAGATATAATGAAATATATATATATATATATATATATATATATATATATATATTATAATGAAAAAAATTTATAAAATAATATTTTTTATACATTAGTATAAATAAAATAAAACTGTTTTAATGATTATCTTTGCCTATTCATAATTACTCATAATTAGGTAGAGTAGTTAAAATCTCTATTTTAATGGATGATTACATTTCTCCACTTTCGAATATCAACCTAATCCAAAACTTTCACTCAAAGATTTTGAGAAAGAAAATGAGGAAGCTTTTGGTTAATAATTATCCATTTATTCGTTATTAATAATTTTTTTCTCCTTGGTTGTGAAACATAATTTTATAATACATACATTTAGTAACAATATTATTTTTATTTTTATTAAAAATAATTAATATTTTATAAAACAAATTATCGTATAGATCTACCAATATGACTTGAACCTAGTTAACTTACCCTTTAAATCAAATCAAAATTAACTTAATTTAATTTAATTTAATTTATAATTTTTTTCTCATTCTAACCTATTTGTAACTTTTCGAGACGGTCTATTAAACACTTATAAACCCTATCATAATGTTTATTGAAAAAAGAATACTGCAATATTTCGTTAAATTAGCAAAATAACGATCCTAATTAGTAATCAGTAAAATAACGGTCTAATTTATTTGTCTTGCACTCAGTTTTTGGTTTGAAGGATAAGGGTTCGTTTGGCAGAGATGAGAAGTAAAATAAATAAAACTAAAAAGGTGAAAAAACTAGTATAAAAATAATAAAAAATACAATAAAAGTGATCATTTGAATCATAAAAAAATAACATTATATATATATATATATATATATATATATATATATATATATATATATATATATATATATATATATATATCACACACGTATTTAACGTTAAGCACCATGTATTTGCATGTACGAATAATATTATTTATAAATTAATAATAATAATAAAAAAACTCTTTTTATATCTCTAATTTCATTCTTATATCCATTGCACCAAACAAACATATTTAATTTAATTTTCTACTTTCAATCTCATCCTCAAACCCAAAGAACCTTAAAGTTAAACACTAAATATAAAAACTTAGAGAAAAATACAAAATTGTTTTTAATTAAATGGATTGTTTCAACCAATTCAATTAATCTTTCTATCCACTATTATTATTCTCTCCTCTCTTTATTATCTAAGTTAACAATTTCTAAAAGAATTTTATTTATTACATAGGTGATTATACATACATACATACATACATATATATATATATATATATATATATATATATATATATATATATATATATATATATATATGTCCAGAGAGATAAATGTACTCTATTAATTAATATTTTTAAAATGTTGATTTTATTTATTCAACCGTTACTTTAATAGTTTACATTGGTGGATCAAACATAATAATTTATAAGTTAGTTCTATTCCATTTATCAACATTATTTGGAAGTATAAAACTTTTCATAATATAAGTAAATTTTATATATAAGTTTCTATACCTTTAAATATTTAATTTATCTAAAATTTTAGATACATTATTATCAAAATGATATTATACAAATGTGATTCATTCGAGAAGAAAATCCGTACCACCACATGTATAAATTGTTGTAATAAAAAATAGATAGGGATAAAAAAAACACTAAAACCATTTTAAATATAATTTTTTAAAAATAATATCAATTAAAAGAATCAACATAATAAAAAAAGAAATATAAATAAATATTTTAAAATTTAAAAAAAATAAAATAAAAATACTGACAACTCAAAATAAATTTGTGACTTCAAATATTTAAGCTATTATCAAAACGTAGGAAAAGAAGACCTCCGAAAAATAGGAGAAGTTGCGTGACGTATAATGGGATTTGACTTTTATGAGCGACAGATCTATCGATTGCAACTGATTTCTGTATTATATTAATGTATGTTTGAACGTGGACTGTTCATAAAATTCTTTCATAAGTACTTTACAAAAAAGACAAATTAAAATTAATATATGTATCAAATTTCAAATAAAAATAAAAGAGATGCTATACAAAAAACATTTTAACTGGAATTTTATTTCTTATTACGATACATATTTATGAAAGAATTCGTTGGCGAATTTTATTTCAAATTTAGTGAAATTAATTAAGCAATAAAAAAAATATAATAAAAGTGTAGGTTTCCACTTCCCTTGTTTAAAGAATAGAGGGTCTATCACGCAAACGGTTGTGTTGATGTAATTGCCAAACTAAAGCTCACGACGGAATTGGACTAATTGTAATGTTTCTAGAGGACTGCAACCATTTGTCCATCTTCCTCTTTAATACGATTTTATCAAACTTTTCTTTTTGACATAACTCTTTCATTACTAACTAAGTTGTTATTATTTTCCTTCCTTAAAAAAAAACGGTCCATTTTTCAATTTGTTTGTGTTCCTCGTGTCGGAGCTATGCTGGGTATTGTGGACGTCCACTGTTTGTGTTTGTCCTGAAAACAATATTGTAAATTTTCTCCCATCAAGACCGTTTGTTGAGCGTGATGGAACAATTTGTTCTCGTCAATTTCAAAATAACGTGCACGTCTCTAACTATAGTTACGTAAAATTTACCTAATAGGAAAGAAAAAACTATAAACAAATAGGACAAAAAAAAACGTTTTGATGGAGAGGAAAAATACGGTGCAATGTAAATTAAAAAATAAAGTAAATTTCCCCTTTACTTTAATCCAAGTATTAAAATTATATTTTCTCATTTCCAATATATATATATTTTATAATCAACATCTAATCATGACTCTAAGATTTGGGTCTTCGCTTGGAATTTGTGAGTGCATCCCAAAACTAATCCATTTAAGAACTGAGACGAGACGAACAAGTAAATATGACCTTAACCAATAAACTTTTTCTATATGCATCATCACGATTTCTTTAAAACGCAAAGGCTTATAATACTTGTGGTTAAACATCATAAAAGTACAGATAACCTGCTGCGGGCTCAATAGGATACTCAAATGACATTAAAGTAGTAACTGCCAGGAATTGTGTCCCCCATTTCGACTAAACCAAAACCAGACCACAAACAAGAATCGAAGTCAAAGCTTAAGCCACGGACGAAACTTAATATACAATGGGCGGGCAAACGAAGAACTACATTCGAACGGAAGGGCGAAATATTTTCCGAAATGACGGAATAGATCTACTTTTTTCTTCTGCTTTAAAGAATGTTTTCACTTGCACCAAAAACCCAGAAGTAAGAACACAGCAGGGCACGACACAAGTTCATTGGGGATACACATCATGAAATTCCCGTTCCAGTAAACACCTCAGTTGCCAAATCGACCTCTTCCCCATGGGAGCCTCCTATTTCCACCTCCATTGCGCTGCACAGCATTATTCTGCATCGACAGAACTCTCATTCTTTGCTCTTTCATGTTTGCAAACAGTGAATCCAGCGTCTGAGGCTTTTGCTTTGGCATTACATCCACATTCTCCTGCTGCTTCTGAGGGGAAGGAATTGGTTGCTGCCACAAATTTATGAAAGCAAGATATTTCATTACAGTACGAACAGATAAATAGCACAAACATCAATCTTGAATACATACAGAAAACAAGTTAGAAAACAGATAAAACAAGTAAAGAAATACCTTAGCAGCAAAGCCTCCATTAACACCCCTTCTCTGGCCAACAGGAACTCGAAATCTGCACCAACGAAAAAAATGGGGTAATCCAGGTGGAAAAACAAAAGAACATTCAAAATACTCCATCTAGATCTGCGAGTAACATCAAGGTGCCCGGACCACGAATTATCATCAGTAATAGAAACAGACCCCACTTAATGATCTCTCTTACTAGAAAAGTTGAGCCACTTACCATGAGATTCTATCTATATCCAACTACAAAGAAAGAGGAAAGTAATTTAGGCAAAAAGACAACACGGGTCATACAGTTGTAGAACATCTCAGTGTCAGTGAACAACTGTCAGAATTTCCACAGAAACCCACCAGTTGGAACATCATCTTGGGATTGTACTATCACCAAACAACTTGTGCTGCTGTATGGAACTTACTATAGCCCAGAAATGAATATGACCATGGAGATTGTCGAATATGCAAATACAGAACTTAAGAATTTAATGCTTCCACAAATATAGTATCGGTGTAAAGTAGTAAGAAAATTTATCTGCATTGTTACAAGTATATCATTTCCCCATCAGCAACCACTACATGATACCTCTGCAATGGACTAAAGCTTGAAACAAATATTAAGAGACTGATCACCACACCCTCACGATGTTATGAACAACCAGCCCCAGAAGAACTCTTTGTTGATTTACTTGATTGCCAATCATGAAAAGTTTTCTTCACTGCCAAACCCATGAAGAGACTCCAGATTCTTGGTCACAGATTTTTTTCTTAACCCCACAGAATGAAGAGGGATCTTTTCAATTATGTGGCCAAATGGTTGAAAAACTAACAAACTTAGAATAATCAGTCAACACAAAATATTAAAGTCACATGTTGCAACTTATGGAGGCCCCTACTGAAATAATGATCCCATATTTGCATAGCAGAAAATGCATCCTTGCAGCATTAGCTTAACTTGGGAGAAGCCATCGGGTGGTTGAGCCAATATCATTTCAAAGTGGAGAAGTTTTACAGCAAATAGAAAGATCAGCTAGAATCAAAGCCCAGGCACAAGGGATAGTGACAGCCAATGAAAAGGTAGCAATTCACAATGAAGGAAGAAGTCTAAAGGAGAGTGACCATACATGTAATGCTTAGATGGGCTACCATTCAAAATGGTTAATTCTCAAAAAAAAAGTATGGTTAGTTACTTAGTGCCACAATCACTACATTTGCTTCTAAACAACTGAAATAATGCATAGTTGTTTCGTTTTTCCATGTGAGTCAGCCACTAACTATTGACAATTTAATATCCTGACATTTTGTGCATGTGGCAGTACAGCAGTACCCTTCTCCTCGCTAGGTTGAGACACCTCATAAATAATCTTAAGCTATCTTTACTAGCAATGTGTTCCACTGGACCAGATTCCATTTAACTAGTAACCCATTGCTTCACCAGCTAACTCAACCAATATAACCCACTCAAACCACGAAGGAGTCTGCACAATTGTTTTATAAGATTATAATGCAATATTCAATTCAGAATCCCAAAACATGGCTGGCTCGCATTTATGATGTCAAACTCGCTCCTCTGGCAGAGAAAAAAAATCTTAGATATGGAAGGCACATTAAGTTGGGCCATGTTTTACCTGCAAAATTCATGTTACAAGTTAAGAATGCAACAAACAAAATGTCATCATGCAGAGTTGCAGAGTTAAACGTTCACAGTAAACAGACAGCATAATAGAGTTGAAGAAAATAAATACCTTGTTTTATTCCAGTTAGCCACCACATTACGGTTAGGAACTCTATTTCGCAGAGGAGCAGTAGCAGCTCTTCGCGCAACTTCAACTGCAGCAGGATATTGGTTTCCCTGGAAATTAGACCTTCGTTTTGCAATAGCCCCCTGACAACATTATTTAAAAACAAAAAATATAAGAGACAAGTACACAGGCAGAATATAATAAACTTCATAAATAACAATGTTTTTCATAAATCAATGTACCTGTCTAAGAGAAGATCTTGATTCCATATAACGCTGGACCTTTGCAGACTTATCTTGAGCGAAATTGTTAGAAAACTTCTGATTTTTATTCTGTACGTGTATAAGAAAGTTAAACGGATGTTTCAAAGCACCAACATAAAAAGGACATCGAAAACCATTTTCCATCATAAATACTTACCGGAACCCTTCTTGGCTTCTTATTCTTCGTATTTTTAGACATTTTGATTATGTCATCTATCAATATCAAAGGGTGATGGATAATAGATATGTCAGAAAGAGTTTGAGAAAAAAAAAAACATTATTCAAAAGGTTCTATTAAGCACACCTAGTGTCATGTCCATCTTCTTTTCTGTAAGCGCAATTGCCTCGGTAGTAAGAGGTTTGGCTGCCATCTAATACTGTATGGAGGAATTTAATTTAATACAAACGAACATGTCCGACAAAATAAGAACTCAACATTATCAACCAAACAACAAAACCAGCTACCAAGAAGCTAATGAATTACGAAATAAATTAGGGTTAGCGAAGAATTTCATTTCAGGATTTGTCAATAAATGGTAAACAAGAAACAAATATCTAGAACATAAGACATTTATCATCACAAAAATAACGCAAAAGAATCAATAAAATACCCTAAATACAGGAAAATGAGCAAGTAACACGTTCCCCTATGGAATTCTTAAATAACATGAAGATATAATTTAATCGTAGAAAGACCATAACAGAGCTAAAAGAACAAATAAACGGAAGCGTTCCACCACACCGTAAAAAAAAAAGAAAAAAAAACCCTAATATCAATAAATGCACATCCATGACTCTTCACAAAATCAGAAAGATTTTATCATCCTATCTTACTATCCTCTCGTAACAAATTCTTATACATATAAAAAATCCAATTCATAGCAAAAATTGTAAAGTGCGATTTCAACTTTCGATGAAAAGCGATGTGTGCAGAAAAGAGAAACGGTAGATGGAAGAAACTTACTCTTTTGCGACGGTGGAATTCAACAAGTGCGGTGGAGATCGAACTTTGTTAGGGTTTTGGTCGGCACTGAAAAGCGACGAAAAGGATACAGAAAATGGCGAAGAAAGAAAAAACGAGGGTAAAAGATTAGAGATAGGAGGAGAGGTTGTGATATTTATGCTATATGAAGATGTAGATAGCGGTGCTTCACACGGATCGGTATTTGCGCTTAAGCCCAAGGGTTTTTGTGTATTACTACCTAACGCCAATTAAAACGTCCCACGTGGCATGCGATGGTTATATTAATGACAAATTGGGTTTTACCCCAACTCGTCATTTCTAATTTTAGATGATTTCTCTGTCCTATGCTAATTCTTATTATTGCTACTATTATAGAATAAAATAGAGTATGTTTATAGGAAAAGTATATCTTATATTGCTATTAAAATTCTCACCAAAATAAATAAACTCTTTATATGAATTGAGAAAAAAAAAATTACCCGATGAGGTGACGGATTTGAGGGAGTGAAAAAAGATAAATTGAAAAAGAGAGATGAAAGTGAGGTTGATTAGACTAAGATAAAAATAATAAAAATTTAAAAAAATAAGTAAAAAATTTATGAAAGTTTGTGAGTGATTTGATTAATATAAATAATAAAAAAATATTTTAATAAAGAAATTATAAAATAATTAAATTACATTTGAATAAAAACTATTATTATTATTATTATTATAATTTAAAATATTATAATTATTTAAACTTTTTATTTTAATTATGATTAACATAATAATAATTTTATTAAAATAATAATTATTAATATTAATAAAATTAGTATTATTTAAAATATTATAATTATAAAAAATATTTTTATTTTAATTATTAATCTAATTATAATAATTATTATTGATAAAATCGATTTTATTATTAAATTTTGATAATAATAATAATAATAATAGTAATAATAAAATATTTTATTATTATTATGATCAAACGTAGTTTAAAAATAATAAGATAATTGATTATATTATTTAACAATAATAAGAGAATAATTTTATTATTATTATTATTATTATTAAATGTAATAATTGATTTTCACTTTTGATAATAATACGGGGAATTTACAGTGAATCATATTTGAATAATTAGTATAAAGGATAATCAATTTTACTTTTTGATTCTTGTTCATTAAGAATTTATTCTTTTGATTAAGAATCAAATTTTCGTAATTAAATAATTAGTATAAAGGATAATCAATTTTACTTTTCTATTCTTGTTCGTCAATAATCTATTCTTTTGATTAAGAATCAAAATTTTGTAATTGGATAATCGATTCTCCATTGTATAAGTGTGCAAAAATGGTTAAATAGTTTCGCAGATAATCAATTACCTATCACCAACATACAAGCCACGCATGCGGAGCAAAGCTGTGGTTCACATAAATGGATTCTTTATTGTTCTAGATGTCATGCACAATAGTTCACGTGAGACACATTGATAGGGGTGAGAATGTAAATGTAGTCTTTGTGACCTATGTTTTTTCACTCTTTTTTTTGTTACAGATTCATTCGCTTTCTTCTTCAAATCCATTCTTGCAAATCTCCTCAAATCGTTTGATCCAAATGAAATTTATCCTCACTCTTTCACCTGCGTGAACAGGACATGAGCGGATCCAAATACATGCTAAGAGAAATTTGATTAAATTTTACGAGACATGAGATTAATTTCATCTTAGATTGACCGGAAAAATATATTTAAATTGCATATAAACAATTTATTTTCAAGATAGTTATTTTATAATTCTTAATTGTAATATTTTCTAAAATGTAATTAAAATACATTATTGAGATAAAAGATTCAATTGAGCATAAATATGTTTTATTTTTTAATATTTTTTTAAATTTATGATTGATCCTTACACTTTAAAATGAATATATAGAACGATTGAATTTATAAAATATATTTTTTTAATTTTTTATATCTAAATTTAATATTTAGTAATTTTTTGATGGTCATAAATTTGATAAAATAATTAATTTCACTATCTTTTAAAATGTGAGGATTAATTAATCAATTTTTAAAATATAGGAAAAAAAATCAATTTTTTGAAAAATATAGAAGTAAAAAATATACTTCATTCATTCTGCTGTGTTATTCAATCATAAATTATTATATCAAATATCATTATTAATTTTTGTAATAAATTTAAAAATCATTAAATTATTTTTAACTTATTGGTAAAGTAAATTATTTTACTATAAATATATAAAATAATTATTTATATCTCTTTATCACATCAATTATTTGCTTTTATATTTTTCTTTATTTTGTTGTAAAATTCCTCCAATGGGATTATTCAATACACACAAGTCTACTAATATATTCATTCGTTACATGTTAATTGTGTTTGGTAAGTCATTTTAACAGTTAAAAACTATTTTATCTTACATATTTGGTATTATTTTTTTGTTTATTTTATAGTATCAATACATTAAAGAAAAAGGCTTAACAAGGTAACCTTAACACAACGTTGAGGTTTGTGTTTTTAACAATCCCAGCATTTTGTTTTGTCGATGAACCCTGAATTATTCTCCATCAATTCAATTCCTCTCACTTAAGAAAAATTCCAGCTTCAAGCCTTTTGCTGTCAAAAATAGGGTCTCTCCAAACACCAAACTCTGGGGAAAGTGTCTAAAAGTGATGGAAAGTTTTTGATGAGAAACAATGAATGCCACCAGCATATAGCAAATTCATCAATTAAATGATCCATGATCAAAACCAACCAGTGTTTCCAACTGTTTCAGGCGTAAGAATTCAACTTTAGATCCCAATTCTAAACTACATAGATAAAAGGAAGAACCAAAATAGCAAAGTTTAAAAGTTTTATACCGAATGAGTCAACCTAGTACTTGAATGAGCTGAAAGTGACAAAATAATAACAGTCTCTATTCAGTCACTGCTGTTTTACATTGTATGTGCAACAAAAACAACAATGTAAACGACATTAGCGTCATATTTACACATAAACTTTCAAGCAATCCTAAATGCACCAAACAAGGTGCAAAATATGTTACAAATCTATTGGAACATTGGGCGTTGATGTATCAGATTCCAATTTGCAATCAGAGTGTAAAGCTGATAACCACGAGTCCACCTGAAAGAGGAAGAATCATGGAGGGTAATACTACTTGTTCAGATAGTAAAATGTTATAACAGTTACTAGTTATAAATAACAAATTATACACACCTGTATTTTAGAACTGCTTGAGCATTCATATCGTAAACCGTGACGAGTTAAAATATAAAAGGCGTGTCGTGTCTCATCATCTTCCCGCTTAAAACTCGGTAGTTGGTCTACTTCAACAATATCAGATAGAAGCGTTGAGTCATGAGGACTTAGATCTGCCATTTACCCCCTTAATCAATAGTTGAAAATGAAAGCCAATCATCTAAATCAAGATCATAAATGTATTTGGTAAAGCCAAACAATTCTACGCATTTAGTCTTGTTATACATATTGGTAAATAAATACCATACTAAAAGAACACATATTCATTGCTTGACAGGAACATATAAATTGGAAAGCGAAATAAATATGATAACTGCAAACTAACAAGAGAAAAATATAGAAGGAATGAACATATCTGGTATAGATGTTATCGCAAGAACTACAACTTTGCATAAAAAATTGAGTTGGTAGCAGAAGAAGGAGAAGAAAAGAGGGATAGGGAGAAAAGAAAAACAAAAAAAACTACATTACCTGTACACAATAAATACAAGTATAGACATGCACCATGAAGAACAACAAAGCGAGGAAGCCAATCATCTATGTCAGTATCATCTAGAGGTAGAGGTTCTCCTGGAAGTGTAGCCCATCTCTATAAAGAAAAACTAAAAGCAAATTAATACCAAGCCTCTAGGTAAATAATAAATAGATGCAGAAGCTGATAGTAAGTACTTTTCGAATGTACAAATAGCCAGATAGACGAGCTGACCGCAAGGTTTCATCAATATTTTCCAACCTGTGAGAAACAAAATATAAAAAATTACTAATTTAGAAGAAACACTTATGTCTGTTAAGGTATGTAAGAATTCCCCACAGAGGAAAGTATTGGGTTAAGATTAAACACTGAATTTACATGGTTGTTCAACGCAGTAATTTACTAATTTCAAATCCAATGTTGAGTAGATGCCTCTATTATAGCAGGAAGAATCACTACTAAGGAGTGTCATGGAGCAAAATGAAAGAAAAAAGGAAGTTAAACTTCATTTAGTCCTTACTACCCAACACGTCTAGACTCCAAATCTATGGATAGGATCTTAAGTTATATTCAATGTCATTGGTTATCTGATCATAAGAGAAACACATTGACACAAGAAGAAAGGTAACCTAAGCAAGTGCTATGTAAGAACTCATTACAGTGTAAGAAAGAAAAGACTACAGTTGTCCAAAGTTACAGAAGACTGACCGAGCTTTCAATTGAGCTTCCCTCTCTTCTATATCAGCAAGTTCTGATCGAAGAGACTCTACTTCAGCAGCAGTTAGCAAAACCTACAAAGTATAATTTGTCTGGGTAAGATGTAATGTAACAAAACATTCACCAATACAAAAGGGGCCCTAAACAAAAAGATTCTCAATGCAACCTTTTCCTGACCACCACTACTGGAGATCCATGACAGCCTCCGAAGAGTAAACAATTTCAACATGGAAACTACCATTTATGTTCTTCAAGTTCACAGATGTCACTCAGACCTTAAGTAAGATAGATTGAGTGGTTGGCTTCAAATAGAATCAAACACTCATAATGAATTTCTGATGACTGGTTGCTTTCCCCTCCACCAGGATAAAATGTATAGAAGATTTAGCAGTTCCAGGTTTTTGTATAGGAGGCGTTCGGTTCTCAAGAGATCCCACACCAGAAATTGGAAGTCGAAAATGATTAAGGATGACCTTTATCTCCCAAGGAACATCATCCATTAAAGAGACCTTCTGCAAAAAGTTAAGATAAATCCATATCAGAGGAAGAGTGGAAGACAGTAATGATAAGTGCAAAATGTGAATTATTCTGATATATTAATTAACAACGCCAAATCAGATATGAATTGAGTCCTCTACTGACATCATCATTATTAAACGTTTTGCTGAATTTAAAGTCTCGAATTCCTTTTTCTTAAGCCATGTGAGTATAATACAAGGACGGTTCCCAAACATAAATGAATACCTAAATTAAACGGGAAAAAAATTGCTACAAACTTCAAGATATTTTCACCTCCAAGAATTATGAACTAACACAAGCTAAGAAGACTAAATTTTCTCTATCAAAAGAAAAATACCGATTTGCCCAAACTAAAACATATAAGGATTATGGAGCTCCACTAAAATAGTTTGAAGCAAAGACTGCATAAAACGATTGTTATCCCCCGGGTGATCTGCCATAATCCTCAACCCCATTAATCAACTAAACAGAATTAAAAACACTACAGAATTGGGAAACGATATCATCCCTTCACCTTGAAAAGAAAATGGAAATCTCAAAAAAAAAAAAGAGCATGCGAAGAACGGTGAAAATCGAAAGCAACTGACAGGCACAACTATGAAACTAGTTCATGTCGTATTTGTTGATTCAAACCAAATTCTCAACCAGAAGGATGGGATATAAAGTCAAGTATTATGAATAAATAATTTATTTTAGGTTTGGAAAAGAGAGTGAAACATCGAATCCTAATTAAATTAAATTAAACAAGTCGTACAAAAGGTTGAAGGTCAAAACCGGTCACCAATTATTTTTTCTAAGATAAACAAAGTTATTGCTTTAAAAATAATTAGTTAATAGAATTAAATTTAAGAATATTGGAAATGAGAGAGAACGGTTGGTACCTGGGAAGAGGAAGAAGAGAGGAAGAAGGTAACATGCAAACGGATTTTTCCCAAAGCCCACAACAATGACGGGTTGTTGGGTAGTGTTGGGTTAGTTGTGTACAGTAGTTTAAGTATTTTACCTCATTTCACCGTAACACACTTGTTTTTCATTGGTTGTTAACTTGTTGGACAAGAAACGACACGGCACTCGTGCGTCCCAATCCCATGCTCTCCGGCTCCAAGTACTTGCTTTATTTATGTCGTTTAAGGATGATGTAATTACTTGCCTATTTAATCTTTAAAATCATAAAATATTATTTTAATTTGATTTAAAGAATATTTAACTTGTAACAAAATATAAAAAAGTAATATCTTTTATATATATATATATATATATATATATATATATTCAGAAACAAAAAAGTTATAACAATCGAAATAGGAATTTGATAATATTTCTAAAACTAAAAATGTGTAAGTATTTTAATTTTAAAAACTATTACTCTTAAATAATTTTATATTTCTAATTATAATTAAAAATAATACTTCATAATTTTAAGAATTAATTTACATATTTCTAGATCACCGGTTCAAATAAATAAGATTAATTTTTTTAATGATAAAATGGATTAAATTTGATGGGTTAATCCTGGTATAACTTTAGGGTTTAGTGTTTTTAACATATAAGATCAATTTTTTTATGATAAAATAGGTTAGGTCTGATGAGCTAACTTATCATCTCAATATAATTTTAGTAGGATAGATTGATATTTTTAAGTCTGTCATCTCATTTTGTCTAGTCTTATCAAGTCTCGTCAACTTGTCATATTAAACAAAATGGGTCAGTTTGAAGTTCGCTTAAATAATAATAAAAAAAGTTAATGTAATTTCATAAGTTAAAAAGATAATATATGTAAAAATTTATAAAAAAAATTCAAAAAATCTCAATTTCATTCACTCTTATCACTAGACTCTTTTTTGTAAAAAAAAAAAATTCTCAATCACAAATTCCTCCTTTTAATCTTCTCCCTAATTTTCTCTTTCCTCGTAGAACTATCTTTATTATTTGATTTGAAGATGTAAAAATTACTTAATAAAAATTAAACTTTTATTAAATAAAAAAAATAATGTAATTTTTATTTTAAGTGTTTAAATTTTTTAATATAAAAAATAAATTTATTTATTATTACTTATTATTATATAAATTTTATTTTAATTTGATTATTTTAAATTATAATTTCTTAACTCAATGTGTCAATTTATATCATTAAATTATATATATTAAATTAATGATAAATGATAATTTTATTATTAAAGATAATAAACTTTTTTATTTAAAAAATATTATGACAAATTAACCTAGATTAGTCCGTTTCATTTGGTAACTTTACTAACACAAATTTTTACTAAATATACAAATAAATAGTAAAAAAATAAAAATTAAAAAAAATCACCTTACAAACATGTATCGTAGTATTTGATTTTTGTAGATAATGGACTAGGATTTCAATAACTTGCAACAAAGTTATAATTATTCCAATTATTAGAGGTACCTCGACACTAAACGTGGAAGTGTAAAAATGAAATTTGCATTTCTTGTCTGTGTTGTGCAATACCAGCCAAGGCAGAGCCTAGAGAAATTCCTAGTTTATAGCTTGATAATTAGACAAGTCAGTGTCGTTACTTCGGCCTTCTCTGCTGTTCACTGTATTGAATAGAGCACAGTGCTGTAGATGAAAAACACTGACTAGATAACCAAAACTTGAAACTTTTTTTCTCTCGAGTCAATTTTCGATTTCAATGAAGGGGGAAATAAACATGGTGTACAATCTTAATCCTTTGCCTATTATCAATTAATGACAAATAAAATCGGTTTATTGTTTATGTTAGTATTTGGCAATAAAAAGAACTATCAACTTTGGAATAGTCTTCCCCTTGAACACACTCAGTTAGAACCAGCCGCCCAACTGCCACAAACAAAAAAAAGAAGAAGTTTGTATTAGCAATACATTAAAAAAAACAACATCAATGATCAAATAATTAAGAAAATGTTCAAGCAGAAAGCTAGAATGATCTCAAAAGGTATAAAAATGAAAAAAAGAAGAAGAAGAAACATGAAACCACGGGCCATGTAAAAGGCCTAATTAGTAGCACATTTTATTAACAATTCAGGTCAGTGGTGGGCCAAATAGGAATCTAACCTTTCTAAAACATAAAATCAATTGGTTTACATGCAAAGGTGACAATGGTAATATGAAGATATGAATGACCTTGCAAGGAGATTTTACATACCAAAACTGCTTCAATCTCCTCATTGGACACCGGAGTTCTTTTGGGTTGAAGAGAGGCCTTCCCTCCTGGTGAGATTAAGACATTTGAACTTGTGAAGAAAGGTAAATTGGCATCAGTTATTGAAGACAAAGCTTGAGTCTCGGGTACAGAACCTGCAATGAAATTTACAAGAGAATTGTACACTTAAATTATTGTCTCAACATGGAAACTAAACAATTAATAACAGTCTTCACGAATATCCAACTATTATGAATCAAAAACAGTTAAAGAAAACTAAAAAATTACACGATAACCTGTTAAGGTTTCTGATCAACCACTTGGTTGCTAGACTAGAGTAGTGCCTTTTGACAAGATTTATCAGCAGAAAAATCAAGAACCAAGTTTAAACTATCAGTGTAAAAAAATATGCTTATACAATAAATAATTTAGTGATTTCAGGTAACTATCACCTGTAAGTATGCTGGTTTCTGATATTTGAATAATTCAGTACTTGCTAATTGATATTTCTAAGTGTTGAATATAGAGAAAATAGAGTTTGGAATTAATTTCCCTTGTATATAAATCACACATAGGGTGGTCTATTTATAGTAGAGAGATACAACTAAAAGAGTAACTGAAAGTAACAGAATAAACAGAAGATATTGTTTGATATTGTGGTTACCAATATCTAACAATATCTTAACAATATCAAATAATATCTAAACAATATCTAACACTCCCCCTCAAGCTGGAGCATACAAATCGTATGTGCCAAGCTTGTTACAAATATAATCAATTCTAGGACCCCGTAAAGATTTAGTAAAAATATCTCGCTAACCGATCACTTGAGTTAACAAACTCAGTCTTGATATCTCCGGACATAATCTTTTCTCGAATAAAATGACAATCAATCTCAATGTGTTTGGTCCTCTCATGAAAGACAGGATTAGAACTAATATGAAGAGCAGACTGATTGTCACACACAAGTGTCATTTGAGTGACATCTCCAAATTGTAACTCTCTAAGCAATTGCTTGAGCCAAACAAGTTCACAGGAAGTCGAGGCCATAGCTCTATGTTCTCGCTTCGCACTGGATTTTGCCACAACACTTTGTTTCTTACTTTTCTATGAAATCAAGTTACCACCAATGGAGACACAATATCCGGATGTAGATCTTCTATCCGAAGGAGATCCCGCCCAATCAGCATCTCGAGTAGCAAACAACTCTTGTATGGTTATTAGAACCATATAACAATCCTTTTCCAGGAGATCCTTTAATATACTTCAAGATAAGAATGATCGCATTCCAATGATCTTCACATGGTGAATTAAGAAATTGACTTACCACACCGATCGCAAAGGAAATGTTAGGACGAGTAACTCGTAAGATAATTCAATTTTCCAACCAATCTTCTATACCGCTCAGGATCGATATAGGCTCCCCCTGATTTGGTAGAAGTTTAGTATTGGAATCCATGGGTGTATCAACAGACTTTGAACTCATCAACCCAGTTTCCTCCAAAATATCTATGGCATACTTCCTCTGAGATATAACAATATCATCATTGGACTGTGCTACCTCAATACCCAAGAAATATCTAAGTTTGTCAAGATCTTTGGTCTGAAAATGGTGACAGAGATGTTGTTTCAACTGAGAGATGTCATGGTTGTCACTACTTGTAAGAACAATGTCATCAACATATACTATCAAGTAAACACATCCAGCACTCGAGTGTCGATAAAAGACAGAATGATCTGATTCACACCGAGTCATACCAAATTGTTGAACAACCTTACCAAAATTTCCAAACCAAGCCCTAGGAGACTGTTTTAGGCCATATAGGGATTTGCGAAGACGACATACCATCCCAAAAGACTTCCCCTTAGCAATAAACCCAAGAAGTTGCTACATATATATTTCTTCTTGCAAATCACCATTGAGGAAAGCATTTTTAACATCCAGTTGATAAAGAAGTCATTGTTGAAGAGCAGCCATGGCGATAAATAAACGAACAGAAGCCATCTTTGCCACAGGGGAAAAGGTATCTCCATAATCCAACCCAAAAATTTGAGTATATCCTTTGGCCACAAGACGAGCTTTGAGGCGATCAATAGTACCATCGAGTCCAACTTTGATAGCAAACACCCACCCGCAACCAACAACAGCATTTCCCGGACGGTAACGGGACCAATTCCCAAGTTCCACTATTATGAAGAGCACTTAGTTCATCTAACATGGCCTGACGCCAACCAGGATGGGCTAAAGCTTCACGGACAGTTTTTGGAATGGTCACAGAAGAAATAGAGGAAAGACATGTATAAAAAGGTAATGACAATCGATGATAACTCAAAGCAATATAATGGGGAGAGGGATTACGTGTAGAACGAATACCTTTTCGGAGGGCAATGGGAATGTCAGACTCATGTGTCGGATCCGGAGGAGACAGAGTAGTTGACACTTGAGTAGAGTCACATGGTGGTGGTTGTGATTGGTTTCAAGAACTATAAATCGAAGAGGCAAGTGGAGAAGAAGCTAACTCATGGAGCGAGAACTAATGGTGAAGAAGACACAGTTAGAGGGTCACAAACAACAGGAACATTAAATGTATTAGGAGTATTGACAAGATTGGATGGAAACAGAGGTGAAGTTTGACTTTTAAAATAAAGAGACAACTCATAAAAGGTGACATCTTTTGACACAAAATAACGGTTAAGAGAAGGAGAAAAACATTTGTATCATTTTTGTGATCTTGTAAACCCTAAGAAAACACATTTATGTGATCTAGGAGAAAGCTTATCCAGCACTGTAACCGAAATTATGAACAAAACATGTAGACTCAAAAACTTTCGGAGGTAAAGGATGAAGTGGTTCATGAGGGAATAAAATGGAATGAGATATTTTATTATCTAAAACCGAAGAAGGCATGCGATTAATGAGATAACATGCGAGTAAGAAGAGCATCACCCCAAAAATGTCGAGAAACATCTCCATGAATTAAAAGTGTGCGAGTTGTTTCAATAAGATGTCTATTTTTACGTTCAGCCTACACCATTTTGTTGAGGTGTATAAGCACAAGAAGTTTGATGCAAAATACCGTGAGAAGCCATGAATTGTTTAAAAGAATGAGAAAGATATTCACGGTCATTATCACTACGCAAAACTCTAATAGAAACACCAAACTGAGTTTGAATTTCATTAAAAAAAGTTTGAAAGATATGAAATAATTCAGAACGATTTTTCATCAAAAATAACCAAGTGCATCTGGAATAATCATCAATGAAAGTAACAAAGTATTGAAAACCTAAAGTAGACTTAACGCGGCTAGGTCCCCAAATGTCAGAGTGAACCACGGCAAAAGGGGACGAAGCACCACGTGTGAAACTACGAGGAAAGGAAGTACAATTATGTTTGCCTAATTGACATGACTCACATGCCAAACTATATAAGTTAGACAAGGCAGGGACAAGTTTCTGTAACTTGGCAAGACTTGGATGACCTAACTGAGCATGAAGAAGAGAGAGAGACTCCATAACTGTACTAACATGTGTAGAGGGACTGAGATAATAAAGACCATGAGACTCACATCCTGTGTCAATCACCTGTTTCGAACTCCGGTCCCGTAAACACACGTAATTGTTGGTAAAAGTAACAACACAATCAAGAGAACGAGTTAGACGACCGATGGACAATAGGTTAAAAGGAGACCCAGGGACATAAAGAACATTATCAATGGTTAAAGAAGGAAAAAGTTTAACCGTTCCAACACCATGAGATGATACTCTAGAGCCAACGACCAAGTGTAATGTAAGATAAATGATTAGGAGAGGATAAAGAGGAGAACAAAGATTTGTTACCAGTAATATGATCAGTGACTCCTGAATCAAAAACCCAAGGACCAGGAGAAAATGATTGGGTCAGACCAGCAAAATATGTATTTGTATGTGTGACAGATATAGTGGAACTAGAAGACTGTTGATTTTTATACCATTCGAGAAATTTGTTGAACATAACAGACATGTCGGATGCAACAGAAGAAGGAAGATCCCCTGCAGATAAAGGTGGGGAAAGATTGGTCTGAACAACTACAGCAGACTGAGGAGAACGACCATGTAATGTATAACACTTGTTAATCTTGTGACCTAGCTTGCCACAATGTTCACACTTAGGACGCCTTTTTTCCTGTTTGCGAGGGAGAGCCCGGTCATCACGATGGGATGTCAACACAAAAGAATCGTTAACAAAATTGGAAATAGTAGAAGAAGTCATGAAGAGCGGGAGAACAAACCCTAAAACAATCCAAAGTAATCCAATTAACCCACGAAGCACAAATCCAAAATGAGAATACTAAAAATAAGTTCGCCAAGACTAAACGGTGCAGGAGACAATGGGACGACCAACTCCGATAGTGGTCATCTCAATGGCACGGTGGTCACCTGACCGAGACAAGCAAAATCATATGTCACCGGTAAAAAAAAAAAAATGAAACTCCGGTGAATTCTCCGACAGCGGTGGACCCGGTGACTGCTCCAGCGACAGCGGTGACAGTAACGTGAACTAGTACACTAGGTAAGTTCCCAGGAAAGAGAGGTGGGTCACTAATTGACACACTTAAATACCAAGTCTTTCCTTTCCAGAACTTTCCTAAACATGACAAAGATAATTCTTTTCTGATGTGGAGGATCAGTTTACCAGCAGCGGTGGGGCGGCTCTAGCAGCGGTGGGACGGCTCCAACAGTGGACAAAAGGCGGAAAAAAAAATTCAAGATAACCTTAAGCTCTAGATACCATGTTGAATATAGAGAAAATAGGGTTTGAAATTAATTTCCCTTGTATATAAATCACACATAGGGTGGTCTATTTATAGTAGAGAGATACAACTAAAAGAGTAATTGAAAGTAACAGAATAAACAGAAGATATTATTTGAAATTGTGGTTACCAATATCTAACAATATCTTAACAATATCAAATAATATCTAAACAATATCTAACCCTATATAGATAGATAACTGCTATTTCCAAGTATAGGTAGACAATTGATATTTCTGCACCTGAAGAAGTTATATCGATAAACATATCAACTAGTTGCTAAAAACAGAATCCAATATTATGCAAAAAGTTCTATTTTCTTGAGATGTTTGGTTCTATCTAATAATCTGAACTTTGCAAGCAAAATAGAAAGGCAGCAGTCAGAAATCTGTCATTTCCAAACCAGACACTTTACTGTACAAAAAGTACTTTAACCACATCTATGGAGTTGGACCATAATAATAACACTACGATAACAATTCTTCCTAACAATGAACTCGACAAAATGTCGAAATGACGTTGTTCTACACATGGGAATACGCGCCACGATTAGCATGAGCACAAGCTTTATTCGATGCTAAATGAGATGCCCCGGTATTGTTCATGTGGGCAAAGAACATCTTTTTTTCATCGTGATAACATTGACTCGATCCAATATTATCATCAACAATATGAAGAAAACGAACGGTTTCTAATGCGAAAGGATTGTCAAACTAACAGGATTGTCAAACTAACAGTAATACTGGTTGAACAGAGCAAGAGGTTAGATAATTTCCAATTAAATCCAACAAATAACAGCATAGGCAAGGGAAGGAACATCCAAAAAAAAAAAACTACAGGAATGGAACTGCCCCACAAATCGAATATCAAACTCAAATGAAGAAAACAATGGCAAAACCTTACACGAGAATCAGACATTTTACTTAATCTCGAATTTATACAGATAAGAAACCGAATTTTTCGCTGGAAGCGAAATTCAAATTGTATGAGGGGTCAATGTGAAATTCCAGGCAGGTAACGGCAATTTAGTTAATGCTTTGTGATTATAAAATCTGAACGAATACGAATTGGACACTGAATAGCGAATAAAAGGAAAAGAGAAGGAATATAATTGATTACCAGAGGGCTTGGGATGTCTCTGCGGAAACTTGATTCGCGGAATTCTTTTCATAGCATGACTTGCACCCATTGCTCACGACGCAAACGAAACGAAGGGTTGTGGGGACACAAAGGAAACCTTGCAGAGTTCGCGTGATTCCAACGTCGAACTTTCACCAGGTTTTGCAAAGTTTTACTGGTATTAATTTAGGTTTAAAATATAAAATATTTTGATTTTATCGAAACAAGTTTTCAAAATTTTAATTTTAATTAATTCAATAATTTATAATATTTTTATACTATTATTATCATTATTTTTATGATTATTTTAAAATATACAATTCAATTTAAAACTATATTTTAGTATATATCTAGATGGTACCCAAAAATATACGTGGAAATAATAATGAGTATTAGTATATTAATTAAACTAAAGAAACAATAAATAAAATTATTATTAATTTTAATATTTAATTAAACTAAAGAAACAATAAATAAAATTATTATTAATTTTAATATCATTTTAAATAAACAAGGAGAATGAAACATATTTTAATTGACAAAACTAAGAAATATTTTGAGGAACAATAGAACGAAGATATCTTCTTATAAAATAACTTATTTCAGAGAATATAACTAAAAAAAGTACGACGAGTATGTTTGAATTAAAATAAAGCAGATTCCATTATCTTACAAATTTGAACTGTAAATAAGATTCAAACTCACTTAAATTCATTAAATGAGCTTTGAGAAAGTTTTAAAGTCAATTAGTGTATTTTTAATTTATACAAAAATTATAATTATTTAAAAAATCAGTTCATAAGTGATTTTTACAACTATATATAAGAGATTTACTTAAAAGTGAGAATTAAAACTTACTCATTATATTCACAATTATTTTTTCAATGATCTCAACAATAAATTATCTTAATCCTTGTATAATTGTGAATTTTATCTGACAGTGGTTTGTTTTGTTTTTTTAAATAGTTTTAGAATTTATTTATTTTTTTACTTTTTAAAAAATAATTTTTTAAACATATTATTTAATAACTTTATTTTTTAAAATTATTTTAATAAAAGAAAATAAGATAAAATTACCACGAATAAACGCAACGTAAAATGAAAATGATTTTTATAACTTTTTATGATAAATTTTTTATTTGATACAATAGTCATTAATAAAAGAAAAAACTTAAACAGGAAATATATTTTATCAATATTGATTTTTTAAGTTGTTAAAAACCAAAACACGAAAACAATTTTTTTAAATTAATTTAACTTATTAAATAAGTTTTTTAATTAAAAAATTAAAAACTATTTTAAAAATAGGAAATAAACAAAATAAATGAATTCCTTCTTTTTTGTTTATATATATTATGAAATAGTTAGAATGTTTTTATACGAGGAGATTTTGGTTATATTTTACTTTTAATTTTTTTTTATATATAACTATATTTTAATTAAATTTAAAATTGAAAAAGCTAAATTAGTATTAGACGCATGAACCACATGTGATGATTTTTTATATTAAAAACATATTATTAAATAAAATAAATTTATGTATTATTAAACAAAATATATTTATTCGTTTAATTATTGATATCTATTTATAATAATTCTATTATTTCTAATGTGACATTGATTATTTTTTCATGTTATATTATTTATTATAAAACCAAGTCTTTTGTTTTAGTTAAGAAAATTATCCAATCAAGTTTTTTATTAAAAAAATCTTAATAATAATAATAATAATAAAAACTATAAGTGATTGCCTAAGAATCATGTTATAAACGTTTCTTGCCAACATAATATACTATATTTTCCGTCCCACGATACAGCAATTTTATCTTAAAATTTTCCAAAATTGAATTTCTTCTTGGTTTATTAAAAGATACAAATTATTTCAATAAATGATATAGGCAAACAGCGTCATCGATTTTAATAATTGATTTTGGATTAAATAATATATTATTAATAAAATACAAATAAACATAACAAAGTAAAAAAATAAAAAAAAATTATAAATATATTTAATAATCATTTATATATATAATTACAAAATTTTTAGCATCACAATCTGACTCAAAGAATGGGTTACTATGCAAATATTCTAAGTATGTCTAAAGGAGTTAGGAGTAACAACTTAAACTAATTATGATTTTAATATTAACAACTTATTAATTTGATATAATAATATTATAATAATAAATAGTTTTATTATATAATAATATTAAATGTTGATGATTATTTATATATTATTTTTCTTTAATTTAAGACTCATTATATCGACTTAGTCTCGCGTGGCCCTATCTAATCCAAACCGCGTTCCATTATTTCTATATGACTCATTCTTTATTTCACTTTCTAGGGCCCAAAGTCTGTTCTTCATCAATAAAGACAGAATAAGAAAGATTGTGAAAAACTCCTCAACATGCACACTTTTTGAAGTAAAAACAGATTTTAACACATGAGTTTTCAATACGATCCAAACATTGATTAATAAAAAAAGAGATTAAGAGAATTTTTTTAATTAAAACTAATTAATAATTTTTTCACAAGAATCAATCATTATTAGAATTAGTAAATACATATGATAACCAAAATGTGATGTGACTAAAGTTGTAACTTAAAAGATAATTTATGTTGAACGAGTCTTAAGAAAACTGATTAAGCAAATGGGATGTGGTGAAAAAAAAGGCCTAAAACATCACATTCATTATGGAACAGAGGATTAGATGAAGAGTTGATGAGATAGATATATGTCACTCTCTTGAACTGGCCAAATTAGCTACAATCAAGAGGTGGTGCCAAAGTTTTCAATTTACCTGGCATCATCAAAGCAAAAACCAAAAGTGCATTGAGTTATTGACCCGTTTCATACTTTCGTTACGGCATAATAATCACATCAAGTTACCTTGCAGTGTGTTTAGTGTCAGTTTGACATGGATGTCACAGACCCTACTTTGTTTTTTAAGGAAAAATTTAAATCTATATTGCTTGTTTTAAAAGATAGATATCAAAGGATTTGTTTTCTTTTTTTTTTAATACTTAATAAAATTCTTTATTTCTAAATCAATTTATCCGAGTTTATTAATCGACTCAACTTTATTTACTATTGTAAATTTAACTTCAAGTTGTTTTATCCTTATGCTTTTTTTTTTAATAAGTGATAAGAAATATTTATCCTTATATGTTTGTGAAAATCCAAACAATTGATTTGTTTTCTTATATAATCCAGAAAAACTATACCAATTATAATATGAAAGTGGGGTCTATCTTTTTATCTTAGGTACAAAAGAACATGGATGGAGGGACCATAATGCGACCATCAATGACTCAAATCACTGAAATTAAGCTTCACTAACATTGGCACATGCGTGACCTTTCTCTGCATTGACGCCATAAAAATTCATAAATTAGTTATATATTAATGTAATACTTTCTTTATTTTGTTTTATTTTATCTCTTTAAGAAAACAATAAATAAATAGAAAAAAAATCAAATCTTCTACACTTTTCTTTATTTCATCATTCACAATCATTACGCATTTGAATATAGAAAATTATACCTAATAGTATATATGTTATAAATATATGTGAGATAGTGAGATATTCTTTAACCTTATTGGTTTGCGGCTTATAATTAAAAAAAAAAATTCTCAACTAATTAGTTTGTAGTTATCAATAAAAAAAATTTAAGTAATTATTTCAAATAATTGAAAAGAAATAAGTGATGATTAATTTGAAAAATAACCAAGAAGCTTATTCCATACAGAAACCAAAATGAAGGGAGTATATATTTGTAATATTATTGAATCATATATGAATGAGTGAATATAGTGTAATAAATTTATTAACTTTTACAATAAAAATAGAAAAGAAAATTGAGGGGTCACGTTCATCATGGCGTTGTAAATGACTATAAATAAATTCAGTCTTCCACTTCTCCAAGTGGCTAACTTCATTCAATCTCTCTCTGCTACGTACCACTCACTCACATCCAAAACATGATGCACACCATGTTTGCGTGGGTGAGCAGAAAAGTAGAGCAAGAATTCAAAGTCACAGAAGCAGTGTACAGAGATGAGTTGATTACCAAAAAGAAATCTGCAGGGCCAAGCAAGGCAGTGAAGAAAAGAGTGCGTTTCGCAGATTCAGAACCTTCCATTTCTGGAGAAGACAAGAACGAGAAGAAGATGGTGAAAGGAAGGTGCAGTGATGATGAATCAGGATGCAAAGGAGGGATTAGAGTGAAGGTAAAGATGACGAAGGAAGAAGCGACTCGGTTGCTGTCAAAATGCAAAGAAGGAGGAGTTCTCGAATTCAAGGACGTTGCACGTGAGCTCGTGTCCCTCCCAGTAGACCGAGTTAGGGTTGTGTCTACTCTACAACAATGATTTTCCATCCGTTATATTGCCCAAGTTCTTCTCACTCGTGTCTCAACATATCAGTGATTATGCAGAAAGAGTGTGTTAAATATTCAAGTTTAATTCTATGCATGCTTTTTCTAAGGAACGACAAGACCATGAGAGGATATATATGCAGCAAATCTTGGCATGTAGTGAATTTTTCTGAGATTACATCAGAAAATTTTGTTATAGTTCTATCCTTCTGTGCATATTAGTGACAGAATGCTTAGTATGTGTGTTATTTTGGTTGGGTTTATAAACTCTTTTTGTATTTTTGTGAAACAGTTTTATCATCTCTATACAACAGGTTCTATCTTTTATTGTATTTTATTTCGATCTCATTTTCTTTCTTGTTCATTTGGTCTCCTTCATTTTTGTTTTCTCTGCGTTTTGCTGGCTTTGGTAAATACACAACGCATGAGGCACAAACACAGGATCAAAAACGTTTTTAACGTTACAAAATAGAGAAAATTACCAACGCAATGGAAACAACATTTTCTTGAATTTCTTGCAACTTTTAAGTTTGACTATAAAGCGTTAGGAATATTATACCGTCACGAAAAGTAAGACAAATTTATATTGACTACAAAACTAGCTGCGACCGATAATAAATAGACACCTTAATCACATATTTCATTAACTTTTACTTTCTCTATTTGAATTTTTTAACTTTTTAAGTAGAAAATTTTGTTTTTAAACAAATGAAATTTGAAAAAAATTAAGATTATTTTAATTATTCATCAATTATTCATCCAGCTTGATGTCGGCTACAATGTATTGCTCTATCTCATATATTATCTAATTTAGAATTCTAAGTCTAATTAATTTAATTAAATTAAGAAAAAATTTGTATAAAAAAATTATATAAAAATAAAAATATTAATAAAAAAAATTAATAAATTTATTAAAAATAATAAAAATGAACATTTATATTGATTTGTGTAATCAATTTTTAAATTTCTATATTTGTAATGTATTATGTAACCAATTCTTAAATTCATATATTTTGAAACAAGTGTATTATGAGTTCCAATACGTACAATTATGTCTTGGTTTACTCGAAATGCTGGAATGGTAAATGCCCGTGTTAGAAATCATCATCGTATTCAAATAGCAAGATGGTAATTTGAGAGGAGATTATGTATTTCGGATTTCTTATTTTTATGCAAATACAAAATATAGATTTTTTTTCAGACACGTTATATTTAAACAATTTTAAGCTGATTTTATTTCAATATTAAAAAAAATCATTTTTAGATATTTATTTTATTCATTTTTATAAGTTATAATGAAACAATTAAGAAAACATTTTAAATAATTAAATATTTTTAATAAAAATTATTTTAAACAGTAACAGACAAAACACGAAACCTGGAAGTTTGGAGTTTGAATTCATGAGCCATGTCCATGTTTTTTGTGGTATCATTAATTGACACTGTTTAAATTCCATCCACCCCACCTAACGTGTTGGTTCAGAATTATTATTAGCATTTATTACGTTTCAATTTCTCATCCCTAACGTTACTGCACCCACATAACACTTGTCTTGTTTCCAAAAAAAAAAACATTTAGATATAGAAGATATATTAATTAGAAATTTCTATTTTTTAATTTTATTATATGAAAAGGACAACGATGATGAAAATTATCATTTCCATAATATATATATATATATATATATATATATATATATATATATATATATAAACATCTATTAACTCTAAAATAAGAATTAGAGATTTATTTTTTATTTTTTAATAATAATTTATCTTAATATTTTTAACTTTTTATTCTTGAATAAATTAATCTTCTCTTTTTTTATTAAAAAAATCAATTACTTCAAAAATTAAAATTTGTTGGTTTTGATTATTTTTTAATATGATGATTAAAATAAATTATTACTATAAAAATGAAGCATAAATAGATAATTTTTATTTTAGAGAGTAAATCGTTTATTGGATTTTGTTTAAAAGATTTTAACGTGTTTAAAAGTTTAAGGCCCATAATAGTTCAATTGGTCTTACCCAAGCTTTTTTTTTTTTTGTCTTAAGCCTGCGCGTGGATATTTTTTAAAGCCTAGTTGTACCTGTTAATTATAGTTTAGTTAAACACTGTCTTTGTAATAATAAAGCATTAAAAATTATCACAAATATAGTATAATAAGATATAGTTAATTACTCGATGAGATGTTGAGAATAATTAAAAATCATCTTATTATGAAGTTTCTAATAGGACGAAAAAATACTTAATATAAAATGTTATTTGTTAATTAGTACTTAATTATAATAAGAGAAGTCCTTTTTTGAAGGATAAATTTTGAATATAGAAATCTTCATTGGCTTATTTGTGTTTCAAACCGACAAAACCAATACAAATATTTATGCTTATAAACAATCATTCATCAATTTCTACATCAACCAGAAGAAATATACAGACTAAGAACATATAGAAACATGTAAAAAAATTAAAACAAAAATCCTTAGTGAATGTTTGATAAACCATTTCGTTTTAGTGGAATAATCTATTTTTGAATTTATTAAAGAAATCGATACATATAAACTGAAAAGAAAAAACACTATCGAATTTACTCTTGACCTTAAGATTTACAAACATGGATCTCACTACTCATTTCAAAAAAGAGAGGAAGAGAAGAAGAAGCAGAAGAAGAAGTGGTGTGTCTAAGGCTGAGAAGGAGATGAAGATGATGGTGATGGTGTGGTGTCCATCTCAGGCGTTTCAGGAACCTCCATGATGCTATCCAAAGAAGGTTTCCATCCCTCAACTTTGTCTTCTCTTCCTCTTTCTATCTCTGCCACCATTTCCTCCACCCTCATTCCTCCTTTCTCATTCAGTTTATATATCAGCCATTTCAACTCCTCCTTTGTCAGCACTACTTTCATGCTTACACCATTCTTCCCTTCATCATCATTCACCTTCACAAATCTTCTTGATCTTCCTCCTTTTTCATGATCTTCTTCTTCTTGTTGCTTCTCCTCTGCATGATCTTGTTGCCCTATAGTGTATGTCTCCATGCAGTTCCCCATGATTCTGGTCTTACCAACTTGATTTTGAATCTGCAAAAAGCTTATTGGCAGATTCCAAATAACTACTGCAATGTACAATGAACACAAACTTCAACAAGCTAATAGGGTTCACGGATATTTTCTAGACACTACACTCTAGCGAAAGTCTTTTATATATATATATATATAACTCTTGTTTTCTTTTGCTGAAAGAGACGCGTCACGTTATTTTATTTAGGTTAAATTAATAGTATGATATCTCTTAACATTATTGTTATACTGTTTTCCCATTCGTCAAAGTTTCATTTCAGAAAACGTAACACTTGTTAAAAAATGTAAATAAATAAACTCAATAATTGGGGTTGCAACTGGGTTGGCAGTGACGTTGACGTTTAGATTATTTATTTGTCTGCAGAACGGAACGAATTTGTCGGAGGGTTGATTTTCTGAAACTACCCTCTCCTTCTGTAATCAATGGTTAGGATCTTTGCTGTTCTAAAAATATCATTTTAATGTTTTACACCTTGAGAAACATGGTAGGCCTAAAATTTTGGAACATTTTAAGTTTTGAGTTAATTGGTCTAAAACAATTAAGCAGTTAAATAAACCCATTTCAAAATTTATTTCTAGAAAATCATATATTGTTATCAAAGTATGTTGCTAACTCCATTAAATACACATTAGTAAATTTATGAATGAGATATAATTATAAATAATGTTTTGAGTTATTATCGCTCGTGAGTAACGATTTTATCTTTAACAATTATTCTGATATTAAAAGAAAAAAATATATATAAAATAATATTTTACCATATCAACAAATAACTCAAAAAACAACCCATTTTATTAATATAATAATCATTTTATTAATATAATAATCATGAAAGAGATTTACTAAAAATGAAAACAAATTAAAATTATTATTATAATATTAAAAGTGGGTTGTTTGTTAAAGTTGTATAAAATTGGGTCTCAAATTATCATTTCTCATACTTTTAAAACGACAAATGACAGGTCTAAGGTTTAGGTGAGATATGACTAGTTTAATTGAAGTATTTGATCATACTATAAACTATAGAAACACATGCACACAATCCTATTCATGACGCGGATAGGATCCACAAAACCTACTCTTGTCTCTGCCTTAAAATGTTCCTGTTGGGTTCAGTCAATTGGAAAATCTGGACCAGAGATTTAGGTTACCCTACCTCAAAATTCTAGTAGTGTCGACAACTTCCTCAGAATACACAAAGAAATGCAACATCCTCAGCATTAATTACTCAACCAGATATCATGTTGCCATAAGCTCCTCTCATATCAGTATCAAACATAATATTGTATGAAGACATATAAGAATTAAATTCGTCAATTTACATGAATAAATTTAAATTTAAAATTAATTATAATTATACTTTTCTTTTGATTCCTCATCCTACATTATTATTATTATTATTATTATTATTATTATTATTATTATTATTATTATTATTACCTGCAAGCTTGGAAATCGAGGACAGAAATTGAACATAAGTAAAGTTGAAGTTCAAAAATGAATGTTTTGGCATCAATTTACAGTATTTATAATAATAATTGTTTCCTAATTTTTATTTAAGAACTAATTTTTAATTAAATTATCATTAAAATATGTTTCCGTGATATTTTTTAAAAAATTATGTAAAAAATATTTTATTATAACAATTAATTTAAAGTATGAATTTCATAAAACTTATTGAATCTTTTATTATTGACATAAAATAATATATTATTTTTTATGAGTAATATATGCTTACGATATCATTATATATAATTTTTAATGCACTAAAAGTTCTAAATAATTTCTTTTGTTCGAGATACCATGTCTACCCATGTTTCATTGTAAAGCTATGTTTCATAGTGGGAGTCGCACATGCATAATGTTATTTATGCTACTGGCGTAAAAGTTTTATTTTTATTTGGTTGTCAAATATGACATTAAAAATATAATTTGAGAAGTTAATTTAATAAATATTTATTGTTAGGCACCGTCAACATTGGTAAGGTGGTCAAAATTCAATTTTCAATTCTTGCTGGAAATGGTTGGTGTTCTTCACGTGGGTTTCAGAATGAGTTGTTCACTAAGCTATTCTTAGAACAATTTTTTAAGCCATTTAATAAATTACACATCGTATTAATTGTAAGAGAAAAAAATATGTAAGAGTACAGTATTAGCTAGCATATCCACAGTTTGATTTGCGAATTAAATAAATAAAATATAAATTTTTCATTAAAAAATTACAAGAATTTAGTATGTGAAAAATCGTAATACATCTTTTTATAATAAAAAAACTTATATAAAAAATTATATTACTAATTAAAAAATTAAAAATAGAAAAAATATATAAATGGTTGTCATATAATTTATTTTATTATCTTACGGAATATTAGATCATTGACAACATGGATAGTCAATTAATTGTCACAAAAATGTTACAGATTTGGAATTTAAATTGACATGTTTGATTTTTCTCAAAATATGCAATTTTATTTTAATTGCATTCCCCTGAGACTCATTAATGGTAGAGATAGATAATGAATAATATTCTGAGAAGACGATAATGAGTCATTTGAAATAGAATAAGAGAGAGGATACCTGAAATTATAAGAAGTTGGTCCAACAGATGAAGTAACCAAATCAATGTATAATGATAATCTTTTAAAGCTAAAAGAATGTCTCTCTTATCTTAATGACATGTTTTTTTGGTGTTAGAAAAAGAGTATTCTCTTGATGATTATTGTGAAGTTGCCATGTCTTTAAAATAGATTGAGTTGTTGAATTATAATCTAATTTATAAAGAGTGATTATTATGTGATGGATTTGAATTTGTTCAAAGTGAAATTTACAAGGAGTAATGTATGATTTTTTCCGAAATTGGAAATTATTCTTTATAGAAAATAATATATCTCGGTATAAAAAGTTTATGTGATGATTTTAAAACATAAAACATAATATTCTATTTTTGATTTAATTCTTGAAAACACTTTTCTTATGTGTTATCAAGTTTTTTTTTTCCTGTGTAATGTTAAGGTCCAACCTCATATTAGTTGCACAATCATGCAAAAGTAGCTTAAATCTTGAATATTGACAACTAGATTCAGAAATGGGATTGCATTACAAAGAATTTGTCAATTTGAAAATAGATTTAAGTAAAACCAGGAATCAAATAACATATGTTGGGTATAGAAATTTAGAGAAAAAAAATTATACCACTAATGTCAATATTAGATAATTTTATGAGAATAGACTTGTTTTCCTCATGACATTGGAAAAGTGTTAAAAGAATTGTACACATGATATATTGTTTTAATGTATTAGGAGTTTTTTTTTTATTTAACTGGGAATTTAAGTTGATTAAAAATGAAAAAGTTGAGTTATATATAAGGAATAAAAACTTTTAACTTAATATTTTAAGGTTTTAGGTTAAGAATGATGTCAATCCCTTATGATAATTAGGTTCATGTTTTATTGATTTTGTTTTTCTTTAATGAATCTCCCTCAAAAGACACAACAATGATATTAAAGTCAGTGGTTTGTGTGGTGATCGACAGTGTAAGAGTGGTTCATGTATCGAAAGTCTTCTTGACAAGTAAGTGAATCTCATTATGATGAACGGTGGTATATGGAAAGTCACTAGTGAGCTCGAGAAGATATACCAATATGGATAAGTGGGTCTTGTTATGATGAATAACAGTACATAAAAAAGTTATTTAGTGAGTTCGATATGTACCAACACTAGTACAAAAATAATATTTTATGACAACTTATTACGATGTTCTAATTCACCCGTCATAATAATTAAACGATAGTAATTTTGTAATTAAACTCATTTTTTATGACTTTTTAATCAGTTTAAAATTGAACCATCATAATAAAAATTAAATCGTCATAGTAAGTAGGTTTTATGTCGGTTCAATTTTAAATCGTCATAATAAGTACTTATTATGATAGTTTAACTTTGTATCGACATAGAAAGTGACTTTGTAAATTTTAAATGAGACACTTTCTATGTTGATTAAAATTGAACCGTCATAATAAGTATTTACTATGACGGTTCAAAATTGAACCAACAGAGAAAGTTTTTAGTATGACGTTCAATTTGAACCGTCATAAAAAAATGTCTAGATTTAAGATGTTCATCTTTGTTTTATCCTCTTTATCTTTTTCATTTTTTTTTTCTTATATGAAGAACTATATTCAACTTCTTCTTTCTTTTTTTCATTGTCTTCTGGTCACATTCATTTATTTTTGTTTTCTTGTTACCACCAATTTTTATAATCTTGTTTCTTCCTCATTTACAACAAAAGGTAAAATATGAAAACATTATCTCATTTTTCTTTATTAATTTATATTTCCTAATTTTGTTTAATAGAGTGATCTAGTAGGTTATATTGCAATTATTATTATGATTTTTTTATGAATAATTTTTCATCAAATTTAAGTGAATATATTTATATTTTATATTTAATTGTGTTTTCGTAAGTGATAATGCTTGTGTTTAATTTTCAAAATTTGTTGCATGAAAACTATTTGATAAAATGTTTATGAGAATATGACTATATAAAAAATATTTAACACAAGACTTTTTATGACGGTTATGTTAAGAATTGATATAATAAGTATTTACTATGTCGATTATTTAATAACTGACCTAGAAAGTTATATTTTTTATGTCATCTGCATATATATCAGTTCTACAACCAACATAGAAAATCTAAAATAATCGTTATAAAAAGTCTTTTTTTCACTAGTGTAATGTGTTACATTTGAGGAGGAAATTGTTGAATAATCTAAGTATGAATCAAAGTCTCACATTGAATAAGAATGAGAAAGTTGAGCAACATATAAGGAAGAAAGACTCATAACCTAATGCCTTAAAGTTTTAAGTTAAGAGTGATATCAATTCCTTATGTTGGTTAGACTCATGTCTCATTGGTATTGTTTCTCCCTAGGAAATCTCCCTCAAAAGACATTTATGTTGGTTGGA